CAAGTCATGGACTTGGGAGGCGCCGACAAGCAAGCCTGGATTTCGAATGCTAATCTTTTGGTGACTCTAGCTTTCGGCCCGGTCCTCGTAAGTTCTTGATTCGCATGCTAACTCTCAAGACCCAAAGCTGACTATGATAAGGGCTCCTTGAGCGATCGATTCGGCAAGAAATGGTTCATAGTCATAGCGAGCATCATCGGTATTGTCGGCTCCGTGGTCTCTGGTTCAGCACAGTCGATAACAACCATCATCATCGGCAACATCTTGACTGGCCTTGCCAATGCAGGTTGTGTAAGTTGACCCCGTCTTTAGTCTCCCATCACAACCCACACATAAAGGCCTGTGCTGACACTCGCTTGTCCAGATCATGGGTGTACCTGCGGGCCAAGAAGTAACTCCCAACAAACTCCGTCCATGGACGATGGGTTTCTCCCAGACTCTGGCCAGTAGTGCTGTGATTGCTGGTACTCTTGGTGCAGGCGCTTTCGTCAAGTACCAAACCTGGCGATGGTCTTACTACCTCAACGCCTTTGTCTATGGCACCACCACTGTCCTGGTAACCTGCTTCTACCATCCTCCACCCACTACCCTACGCCGACAGCAGTCTCGTCTAGACGACCTGTTCGCACAAGTTGACTACTTCGGAATCATGCAGTTCGTGGGATCTATCGCATCCATAATGATCGGATTGACCTGGGGAGGAAACACATATCCATGGAGCTCCAGCCAGGTTCTTGCAACCCTGATCGTTGGATGCGTTGGTCTTGTTGCTTTCGGACTCTACGAAAGGCTGTTCACGCGCCAGGGTATCTTCCATCATGACTTGTTTGTCTCTCGAAACTTTCCGATCCTGCTATTTGTCTGCGTTGTTGATGGCATGCTTCTGCTGGGCGTCAACGTTCTCTTTTCCCAACAGATTGCCGCCATGTTCACCACGGATGCTGTCAAGATCGCCACTATCCTCACTCCGTACCTGGCAACTTCAGCTTTTGGATGCCTACCCGCGGGTATATTGATGGCGCGAACCAAGTCATACAGGACTATTTTGGTAGCTTCGCTCATTTGGTGCAGCCTATTCGTCGGTAAGTCACTGGCATCCTCACTGCGGATTCTCTTGATGTTCTTTATACGAATTATATCTGACATGGACCTCTTTAGGCCTTATGGCACTGCTGAACCCTAGCAGACTATCCTGGGCCTATGCGTTCTCTGCAATGTTTGGATGCGGAACTGCCGTCACCACAGTCATACCAGGTAGGAATTCCCTTGTTATTATCTCAATCACTCGCAGATTTTAACATGTTCAGTCGTTGCATTATCTCTTTCTGTCCCCTCCTACTTGCTTGGTACCGCAGGAACCCTCAGTGTATCCGGTCGTGCACTTGGAGGCGCCATCGGTATCACCATCTTCACATCCATCTATCACAACAAAATGGCCACCGCACTACCAAAAGCCGTTGGCTCGGTTCTGGCAGCCGCAGGGCATTCGAGCCTGATTCCAGACGTGCTGAGCGCCATCAACAGCGGGAACCCAACTGCCCTGTCAAATGTTCCTGGTCTACCAGCGTCGCTGATCCCCAAAGTCCTCGCCGCAAACGATCATGCCAGTACCTACTCGTGGAGGTTTGTATGGATTGCGATCTCTGTAGTCGTGGCGGCAAATGCATTAGCTGCGTGCTTCCTCAAGTCAGTTGCGAGTCAGATGAACAGCCACGTTGAGTCTGCTCTGGAAGATTCGGATGTTCGTCGAAAGCAGATGCGTGATATCTAAGTCCATCATCCTGGTACTGATGGGCTTACACGGAGGGATATCTTTAGTTTCATTCTACCTATTTAGTCTCAAGCAACCAGAATTCTTTGAAGAAACTCATGCAACTTGTCTACTTTTGTCCTTAACCCATCCCGCTACGTTATACCTATGCGTTATCTTCGTTGAAATGGCCCGGGAACTGGTACATCAATCCCAGAAGCAGTTGCCAAAGTCCAGTAACCATGCATATCTGGAGAAATGCCTGCATTCGTCATAATCCACTTGGATAGAATAGAGCCTCTATGAGCGGATTTTCCGAGGTATCGCTGAGGAATAGCATCTTGGGCACTTCGTCCCCAGTCGCCGCTTTCTGTCTTTGTGCTTCATCCAATAGAACATGAGGCATTGGGTAAGGTCGTCTATTGCTTCCGCGAAAAGTCGCTATAGCTACTGATCACCCGCTGGTCTTCTAATACGCATAAAGTCCCCAGTCTGATAAAGCAGAGATGGTGTGATCCTCGCGATCTTCCAGAGACCACCAACCCTGACAAATTGATGCTCCATATGGCTCCTCCCATCGCTGGTCTCGTTGATCCTTGCTGCAGACGCATCCCTAGCGCTCTCGCCATCATCTTGTAGTCGCCCATGACTCGCTAGTTGCTGCCACTCCACCACAATTTCGTCGGCAGTGACCTTCTTGAAATATGGTTGCGCAAGTAGGTGTTGTGTCAGTAAAGGCTTGAGGCCCAGGTGTTCCTGTGAGAGCCAAAGGGCTGCGAACTCGGCCGCCTTGTACTGCTTTATTCCCCATGCTGGCACGATCAACGTGTAGTCGACAGAAACCTCTGGTGCTAAAGCGGCGAGGATTCGCTCTTCGCTCTAGAATTGGAAAGGATTGATTAGTATTATTTCCAGTATTGACGTGCATGCACACAAAAGCTTTCCCCATACCTTTTTATCGTAACCATCTGCCCAGACCCTTGCTGTTTGAACCACAGCAATGTAGTCCTGGAAAGTCAGGTTATCTGGAATGTAAATTTCAAAAGTCATTTTCATAAAGCGGCTATTCCGGTGATGTCGGGATCTAATGGGGCTAGAAATATTCTGATGAAGGATAATATCTTGCTATTTATCAACTAACCAGAGTTTCCGGGCCCTCAATGCCATGTCGGGAATCCCGATGATATTGACGTGGGGTCGGCGAATGACGGCGTCCGGAATTCCCGCTCGGGATGTCCACTCGGGAAGTCCAACCGGCAAGTCTTGTCCGAAAAGCATCCCCATGCGCCCGCTAGTATGATATTACTCCTGATTCGTATATCATGTAACTCTAGAACCAGCAGTTAATAATCTACTGTCATTCTTGTTAATACTTCAAACAGCTTTTCTATTCTAGATGATGCAGTCACCATATACCCTCCGCACTGGCATTTATCCCGAGATCCACCCGGATCGACTCGCAGGTTCGCTGGCGGGCAAGAATGCTCTGATAACGGGTTCTGGCAGGGGTATTGGGCGGGAGATTGCTATTGCAATGGCGCGAGCTGGGGCTAACGTTTGCGTGACGGCACGAACAAGCAGCCAAGTCGACGAAACTAAAGCTGAAATCGTGAGCTTGGCCCTCAAGAGCAAGGTGGTGGGCATCGTGGCGGACGTACTTAAGTTGGAGGATCAAGAACGCCTCGTGCGCGAATTCCGCCAACAGCTAGGCCCTGTCGACGTGTTAGTGTGCAATGCTGGTAGCAACATCTTCCAGCCTTTCCACTTGACGAATGCCACCGATTGGTGGGATATCATGGAGCTAAACGTCCGGGCACCAGTTGAACTCACCCGACTAGTCCTTCCAGAAATGCGTGAAAGGAACCAAGCCGTCATAATCTACACCTCGTCACGAGCTGCCAAGGCGGACCTCCCCTGGACTACGGCATACAACTGCGCTAAGACATCTATCACGAGATTCGCGGGTACTCTGCAGGTCGAGCTGGATCAAGTGCAGAAGATCGAGAAGGGAGTGGACAACAACATATCTGTCTTCAGCATTCACCCAGGTGAGATAGAGACCAATCTTCACGAAACGGCGTTCCCGGAAAAGACGAAGCAAGAGGCCCCTTACGTTATCGAGCATATGGCGAAGATGGGCGCCAAGAGACCTCACTTTGAGGCTGCTTTGCCCGCATGGACTTGTGTATGGCTTAGCTCTGGGAAGGCTTCGGCTCTTAGGGGGAAATTCGTGGATTGCACGCGGGATGTCGGGGAACAAGCGAGGGATGCATTAGACGCAGTGAGGTCACAATGATAAAACTTGTTCGAATTGTAGTCGACAACTTATAGATATCCTTTTCTGTCTGTTATGTTGCTGCCCTATATATCTTAAGTACTGTTTGGAGATTTACAGTCAGAATATTAATATAGAAATTAATTCCCAAAGGAACTATAGGCATTCTGCTCAGGATCTGCCTGTTCTTACTAAACTATAACTAGAATTTAAGGTTTCGCCTAAGATCTGTTTCTCTGCGCCGCAAAAAACTATACCTGTTAGTAGCCCCGAGTGTTGTTTTATAACTACCAGCTAGTTGAATATTATGCCCTTGCAAAGACATTCCTAACAACCTGCATAGTTGGGGCAATACTGAGTGGTAAGATTGATATACAAACGGCGACTGTCTCAAGTTTGTGGGGTGTTGCAGGCCATTGACAAAGCAGTAATATTGGTCGTTGATCTAACAGTAGCGATGACATCCTTGACAGCGTGACTCTATAAATGGACCAGTATTTCTCGCTTATAACATTCTTTGACCAAGAATCGGATCATATAATTATATGGGGCTTTATGTATCATAGGGACTAGACCAAGAGCTCACATGAATCCAGGAAATGAACTGTTAAAGTGCCAATACATTTACCATAACGGCTTAGAATTATATCGACATGGTTGTGAGTGAATTTGCCATTCTATCAGAGTTTCTATGACAATTGAAAACTACGTTATCAGCCGCATAGAACGTCATGGAATGAAGGATTCAACAGGGTCGAACCAACAGGTGGAGTTGCGAACATGGGTTTCGACGATGTATCCAATGCTTCCCCTGATAGTTACCCATGTTAACCCTAAACATTCCCCTCAGTGGTTCCAGGGATCATACAATAGTGAGGGATAAAAGGGCACCTTCTGACGGTAGTCCCAGGTTTTAAAAGGTCCCCGATATCATCTGTTCTCGACATTTTGTCTCGGAACACAATACTAGCAATCATGTACCCTCTCAACCTCAAACCATACGCTGCTGGTGGCCACTGCGCTGTGGCCATCTGTCTTGGAGAGACTCCCCTCATTGACTCAGAAAACGTCTGCGATCTCGTCAAGTCTCTCCAGGAGAAGTTCAACGACATCGCCTTCCTGATCTGTGACGAAATTCACAAGTACGAGATGATGATACCTCGAAACATGACAATTACAAGAGCTCAACGACTGGCCATCAAAAAGGGCGATAATATGGATGCGATTCTCAATACTGCGTTCAAGCGCCTTAGACAAAATGACCAGCTCTCATCCAACTTGACTATCCTGCGCTGGTCTCAGATCGAAGACCAGGACTATCAGAAGGTTCACAATATCATATATCAATACCGGAAGAACTTTGTTGAGGAACTCCGCGCAAGTTCTGGGTTCTACATCAAGCGTCGCTTAGCTGTCGCCACGTTGACCGAGGAACGACTTGAGAACTTTACGAAATATACCCTCGCTGAGCTTCCTGTTCAGCTCATGGGATTCAATTACGACAATCGCCAATACACCACTATCTTTCATCCCGTTTACCCTCGGAAGAATCCTGATGGGTCAGCAGGCAACGTCAACTCTGCGTACGTCTCCCCGATCGACACTGTTGTGCAGGCCTATCGCAACAATTCTGATGTCGTTGGTGATATCTCCTGCTCGGTTCCGCATATGGAAGCTGGCAAAGTTAGTCGTGTATTCTTTGACAGACCCGTTCCAGAGGAGGTAAAGGAGAAGCTTTGCGTAAATGGTCTGGATGCACCATTGGTAGAGGCTGCGGTTATCTCCTAAGGTTGGAGGCGGATACGAACCAAGGATTGGATTTGTTGCTGTTTTGAACATTGAACATACGATGCCTATGAGGTAGTTGCCTTTTATGGAGCCGATTATAAGCCTCGAAGCCTTAGGATAACTATAACTGCATGATGCTCAGATAAATAGCCAGGATAGACTGGTTATGTGGCAAGCTAGAAACTTGTCACAGATAGCGTGGGGTAGGATCGCCTGAAACTAGGGAATAAGCAGATAACAATTACATCAACAACATATCCTAACACAACCCGCAACAGCGTGAGGATTTACAATTTATTGGTTAAGTTTGCTTGAAGGTTGGTAAGATAACTTTCTATCATTAAGAACATTCACTCTAACTTATGCAAAGATTCCATCTCGCGTAAGACCTGTAAAAGCAAAACAATTAATTGCATCGCCCGGAGCCACGTTGACTATCGAATTAGCACTTGTTTCAAAGTTGAGACTTGGGCGATGACTTACCATCCAGGACCGCAGTGTGTGCTCGTTCCACAGTACCCTGTAACGCTACAGCACTGGCCATTGAAAGGACCACCAGCGCAAGTTAGACCAACCTTGCTGCCGCATGAGCCGTCAAGGGTGGGAATATCCTTCGTCAAACAAGCGCTCGAAGAACCCTTTTGACCAAAAGCACAATGTTAGTTACAACATTGTTAAAGAAGAGCAAGAGACTTGCCAACCCTGACCGCAGTGGGTTGAAGTGCTCCCTCAGAACCTGTTGGCAGAACAGCAGTTTCCAAGACCAGAGCCAACACACGTCTTGCCATTTCCTGAACCTCACTCGGGATTAGTGGAAATTCCAGTACAGAGACCGTATGCTGTCTGACATCCATCACGGCAGTAACCATCGTCCTTCCCACAGTAACCGTTCTTGGAGCAACAGTCGCCCCACTGACTACCCTTGCAGATTTTACCATTCTTGCCGCAGCTACCATTAGTAGAGACATTACCAGCTGAGGCATCACAAGTGCCAAAACCTGACTGGCAATCCGTGCCGCAATGATCCTTCTCCTTTCCGCACCAGCCTTGGGGAGAGTAGCAGTCGCCGAACGTGCTACCCCTGCAAGTCTTTCCATTCTTACCACATTGACCGTCCGTGGAAATGTTGCCAGCAGCGTTGTTGCAGATGCTAAATCACTCCGACATCCAGCGTCACAATGGTCCGTCTCCTTACCGCAGTAGCCCTGGGCAGAGCAGCAGTCACCATACGTGCTCCCCTTGCAGACCTTGCCATTCTTACCGCAGAAACCGTCAGTAGAGATGTTAGTCTCAGCAGACACTTCCTGGGCCCGGGGGTGTTTCAGGTGGAGGTGCCGCAGCGTTGCAGTTGCCAGCAGAGGATTGGCTATCTCAGTGTTGGTCATGTCATTAGGAGGGATATGGGGGCGACATACCATCTTTCGCCGCAGTAATTGCTGGATCGACCGCAAATACCATCGCCGGAGCAGCACGCGCCGTAGGTAGGACTGCAGACAAAGCCAGTGCCCTTTCCACAGGTGCCATCAGGAGTAACTTCTCCAGTCTGCCATGGTGATAAGGTGACAGTTGATGACTGAGCCGCGACAAATGTAGGCAGAAGCTAGAGGAGTGCGACGACCTTCATGTTCAATGGATGGTTGGAAGAAAGGCTCTCAGAATTTATTCCCCAGTGACGGTGATGTCCCCGCCCTTCCAGATCTCGACGGTATTGGCGCGATCCCCAAGGACCTCCAAGACAAAGACCTTAAGAAGTGCGACACCGGCATCTCTTACGACAACTATGGAGACCTGCCCAAGCTTTGGTACGACTCTGGAGCTGAGCAGTGGGCAGGTGCGTACATCAAGTCTCAGAAGGATCACACCAACTGGGCGCAGAACCTTTATCGCAATCTGTTTGCGAAGAAGGATTACACTAAGTTCTCTTGTGTTACGCCCAACGCTCGATGTGACTTTGAGGCCTCTTGCGGTACGTTATACTTACTTCACACGTTGGAAACGCAAGACTGATGTTGTGAATAGCTGAGTTCAACAAGATTGGCAAGGGGGGACTTTACTACCTCTTCCCGTCGATGTCGAGCTTCCATACTTTTATGAAGGCACTAAACCAATAGTTCGATAGCAAGATCGCTCTATCCCTTGCAACCGTCTCTGAGATGAGACTTACCCTTGACATCAAGAGTGGCCTTCCCCAAACAACCATCAACATAGGTAGCGTTCTCGGTTCGGCCTTCAACATGGCCAGCGCCGTCGCCGCGCCACTCCCCGGTATCGGTGGTCCTCTTGCAGGTATGTCCGGCCTAGCTAGTATGATCGGAAGCTTCACAAGTACAGTGTAAGCATCCCAAGACCTCTGGGGACGATCTGGATACTAACGCGTTGTTTATAGTGGTGGCAACGATAATGCCGTTGACGTGACCGACACTCTGACTTTTTCGGTCAAGACCGCAGCAGCCAAGGGCAAGAGAAAGATTACCGATATTGTATCTTCAGTGTACGGTGACTTTGGACATACGCAGGCCGATCTTCCCAAGACAATGCTGGTTGGATGCGCTGATAACCCGGCCATCAAGGTCTTTGGCTATGGTGCGTGGTTGAGAGATAACGATCTCACTGACCTAAGCGGCGCCGTGGAGCGTATGTCCGACAAAATGGTAAGCCACTCCCCATACCATTCTCATGAAAATATAGACTGACCTTTGTAGAACCAAGCTCTTCTGTGGCAGATGGCCAGACTCTTCAAGGATTTCTACGTCGTGATCCGAGACGATCTCCTCACCAACAAATGCACCGACCCCAACAACGCATGGGATGACCGAACCAACCGCTGTCTCGACATCCTCTCTTGGTGGCCAAAGTCCGCATCTGGCCGCGTCGGCGGCGATCTCGCCATGGAGAAAGTCTGGGCCAAATGGAACATGTCCCCCCTCTGAACCCTTCGCAACGCCGTCGAATGCTGGGAGAACAACGGCGGCAATATCAGCGATGCTAAAGTCAAAGCTCTTCAGAGTGAGTGGGCTAACGGTGTTCCTCGTCCTTATTTCTTCGCCATGCCGGTTCTCAAGGGTAATTGGTCTAAGGATGCGGCGTCTGATGGTGCGATTTGGCTGGCCGGTGATTTTGTGGGACAGGAGGGGCAGGCTGGAAGGCTTTGGCCGAAGGATAAGTGCGATAAGGCGAATAGGGAACTTTATCCGATTACGGGGGACCAGGTGAAGAAGTGCAGTAGTCTCAACAAGGTCGGAGGAGAGAAATAGGTCTGACATGAATAGCATTTGGTTGCTCCTACAAAACTCACGATCAGGAGCGGGCTGTGTTCCTTTGCATATGCTCCTTCTCTCCGGGGTATTATAATTTGTCAAGTAACTCGAACTTGAAGAGACTTCTGTTCACGGATGTCTCTTGACCCGTACATACGGACCAAATCATGTGTTTTCCTCCCTGTGACATTTCATGCTGCACACAGCACCACTCAGGGAGATCGACCGCAGACGTCACCTTTGTTAATCAACAGCATGCACGAAAATTCAACAATTCATAGTGAAAGAGTTACTAGAAAATTTGCTTGGTGTAACTAACTACTCATGAGGTAGCTACTAACAAGACCAGCAGGTCATCCATAATGGCCTGGTAGACAAAACATCAAAACTCCTAACCTATCCATGATCAAAGCATCGGCACAATGATTTCCTTCCGCATCACTTTCGTATCGCCTCGTACTCGGCCTTTCCTCTCCTCAAATCCATTCCACCATCATGCCAACAATTTCACGTTGAGTCCCCACGTACACTCTCCTTACTTCTTCTCACTGGCCTTCTTAGCCTTCTTCGCCGCCTTCTTAGCAGCCTTCTTTGCCTTCTTTCGTTCAGCCTTGGTCGGCTCCTTGGTCTCGGTGGGAATCTCAATCGCGTCGTCAGTGATGTCGTCTGTCTTCTGGCTGTCAAACTCCTAGTTCTCGTTGACCATCTCGACAAACTCCTCTTTCTCCTGCTCAAGCTGAGCGACCATCTTCTCGCGTTCGCTCAAGAAAGCTTCAAAGCGATCCGCAGTAAGGTCGGAAGTGAGAGTAGGATTCTCGCTCTCTCGTAGATCCTTAATCAGAGTGGCAAACTTTTCGTTGCCCTTCTTGATGTTGGTGATGATGTAGTCATGACCTTCTACCAGAGCCTTGAGTCGTTCGTACTCGGCATTGACTCCAGCAGCGGAGTCGTTTTCCTTCTCCTTGTTCTTCTCATACTCTTCATCAATCTTCTGTAACACCTGAGCCTTCCAGTCGTGCATCATATGCTTGAGTGTCTGGACATGGTGATGTGTAGTCAGATAGAACTGGTAGCGGTAACGAGCCTGAAGTTCGGTGTTCTGTTCCTTGACGGCATGAAGCTCCGCCTGCTCAGTGACTTGAGCTTCGACAAGGCTCAGACGCTCGCGAACACGACCAAGCTCGGCTTCCTTGGCAGCAGCCTCAAATTCTGCAGAGTGCCAGTTGCGGTTGGCTTCGTCAAGGCTTCGGGAGTAGTGCTCCTTGAATGACTTCTCGTTCTCAACTTGAGCCTTGATCTCATTGTTCTCTGACTCGAGAGCCTGAACCTTGGCAGCGGATTTAGACTCAGCCAAGCGCCAGTTGCGGTTGGCTGTCTCAAGGTTGTTGGAAAATTGCTCCTTGGAGGACTTCTCGTGCTCGACTTGAGCCTTCAGCTCGGTATTCTCCGACTCTAGAGTTTGGAACTTGATAGCCGCCTCACGTTCAGCAGAGTGCAAGTTGTTGTTGGCCTCGTCAAGGTTCTTGGAGAAGTGCTCCTTGAAAGACTTCTCATACTCGACTTGAGCCTTGAGCTCGGTGTTCTCTGACTCAAGGGCCTGAACCTTGGCTCGCATCGCGTTGATGTGGGCGATCATCTGATCGAAGGCCTTGGGTTCCTTTAGCTCATGATCCTTGATTGGAGATTGTAGGCTTACCTTGTCGGTGTTGTCAACACTAACCTCAGCAGAGGTAGTGTTGGTAGTCTCTGCGAAGGCATGAGAAGGAGGGGTAAGGGCAACAAGTTTGTTGTCCTCAGAGGAAATGGTTGAGGCCGGCTCCGGAGTGGGAGAGCGGGGAGCGGTCAACTCAAGGAACGCCATGTTGAGTTGTTGATGAGGTGTCGTTGTTGTTGTTTTTGGTAGGTGATTGTGGTTGCGTGTGAGTCTGTCTCTGTTGACAACAACTGTTGGTATGATTGATGGCCGATGGTGAGTTGGTGAAGACGAAGGTTAATGTTGGTTGATGTTGATGAAGAAGGGAAGAATGGATGGAAGTTGTGAAGAAGTTGGATGAAGAAAGTGAAGATCGAAGATCAGTTGGAAGGAGGAAGAGGAAAGAGAAGGAAAGAGAGCGAGCAGGTCGGGGTTTTATTGGGACGTTTTCAGTATTGACGCTGAACCACTGGCAGCTCCTGTTGTCCTGTTTGGCACTGCACATTGACCATGGGCAGTGGCAGAGCCACACATCGCGTTTTCGAGCGTGCTGGCAGTGGTAAACGTCAGGTTCAGCATGGCAGTCGAGCATGAGTGTCAACACAATCATGAACACGGCGCGTACACCGACGCGGCACTGCTGCAGGTATGAACACCCTGTTGCGAGAGCCTCGAGCAATGTTCTGAGCTGGAGCTACGTAAGATTCACTACTGTTCAAGACATGAAAGTTATAGCGCAGAGTGTCCTTTGAACACGATTGATACGCGACGATTTCAGATTCTCATTGACCTTAGGCTGGGCAGAATCTTCAATTTTATTTACAAATTTCCAGGTTGCTCAGAACTTCCGCCAAGAAGATACTCTACAACAGCTTGTTCCCAATACACCGACGCCTTATACCACGCCACTTGAGGCACGCTGCCACGATTGATCCCACTTATCGCTTCAGCCAATGCCGGTCCTCCTCCCTCGTCTCGAATCTGCCTGAGAGGATATTGATATGTCTTAAAAGCAAACACCAACGTGTTATCATTTTCCATCAACCTATGAAGCGTCTGCCTCTCACATCGCACGTTCATTTCCTCAGGGTCCAGATCGGCTCCCTTCATCGTCAACACCTCAATACCAAGCCAATCAAGAACTGTCTTGATCCGATCCATCAGCCGCAAGGGGAGAACTGTCAAAGGATTCTCTCTCGGTGCGAAGAGATCGCGGCCAATGGATATGTTCCAGTTGTGCCGCTTCACGGCTTTGCCCTTTGGCAGGGAGGTGAAGTAGCGGTTCATTGGCCTCTCAAGCTTTTCTTTGTAACCAGGGACAGGGCCATGGATCTCTGCGAGGGTTTTGTTCAACTTGAGGGAAGGGTTGAATGAGAAAGGATAGCAATCAATGAGTGCTCTTGCAACGTAACTGTCGCCTTGCCGTTGGAGAAAGAACAGTTCTGTATCCATGTTCTCAGCAAGGAGCCTGACAACTGCCTTGACATCGTTCGGCGGGTCCAGGGGAAGCTTGGTTGATGCTGGACCGAGGAGAGTGTCGCCTTTGGAATGGTAGAGAGATGGATACCTTCGCGGTAGGTATGTCCTTACCATCCAGATGTAAAACTCCTTGACGGCAGCCTCCGAACAGGGGTCAGAAGCAATGACCATGTCGGAATGCTCAGTGACAATCTTACGTCGCAGGGCAAGTCTCTCCTCCAAAGTTTTGTCGATCGGTAGAATGTCTGAAAATGTGCATTTCTCAAGGCCCATGGTGAGGTGATACTTGGGCTTCCATGGCCGTGTCTGCACTGGCTCGGCGTTGTCCAAGTCAAAGTCTTCCAGGGGCTCGATGTCGTTGTAATCGCTCGGCAACTCTTGATGGTGGTGCTGGCTGTCTTGCGGAGAATAGGGTTTCTGATGTCATGATATCAGCGTTTTGCTACTAGCATGTTCCTCTGTGATCACGGAGGTCACTTCACCTAAAGAAACGCACTGGGTCATATTGTTTCTTGTTCCTCCACCATACAAGAGTCACGGTTAGCGCGGTCAGCAACGCAGAATACCAAAAGTACAAGTCAGCCATTGCAAGAGGTTGGAAACGACGTATGTAATTGCAGAAGGTAGACTTTTTAAGACACGAAGTTTCTGTTATAAGTGATGTACTTCGATGTCACGTTATATACATCAAGCAACCGAGAAGTCAATCATCCATCTTCTTATCTCGAGATTCGCGAAGATCAAACGCAGGGTAAGTAATGGAAGCAGGCCCGCGGACGCCGCGGCGCCCGAATTGCGGCGCCAGATACCCGGCACTTGTTAGCTCGTATCCTTGCTTGACACTATGGCATAGAGTGATATTGAACAGGCAATTCTAGTATTTTCATTGATGAATTTTGGGAAAGAATAAAGATAAAAAGTGAATTAATAAACTGATAATTCTAAATACTGCTGATAGTAGTACTACTAAGTATTTTTGAGAAACAAAATAATATACTTGGGATATCAACCTGCCAGGGAGGCAGGATATCCTCGATCAATTGCATATGTAACCAACGCTGCGTTAAAAGCAACAGTCTCGTGCTGTGGTCGCAATACTAAATCTTGCATCGTTGCCCCAGTTTGTGACACTCTTAGTAAAGCATAAGGGCCAAGCCAACGACAGCCCAAGCCACGCAACGAGGTCGGCTACCTCCTGAAACGGTCATAGGCGTGGATCCTTCTCCGCCAGACTGTGACGGCACATTGCTTTGAGCTGTCTCGCCAGTTGATCCTGTCTTGCTCGCCGAAGCTGAGGCGTCGTGGTTGCTGAGATGAGTTGTCCATGATGAAGGAGCCTCCAGGCTGTTGGATTCCTTGGCTGGGACCTGTTCATAATGAGGAGCAGTTGTGGGTTTGGATGCCGAGGCCTCGGGGTGGTCATAGCTGTCAGATCCGGATTGAGATGACGGCTCTCCAGTCGCCTTTTGTGGTCGATCAGTGGCCTTCACTGAAGCCTTGCCTTCTTCTGAAATCGTTTCGGGTCTGACTACTGGAACAACCTTAGATGGCTGGGTACTGTCTGACCCAGAGTCGGTTTGTGGCACCCTTGTTGGCTGCGCTAGGTAATAACTACCATGGCCGGAATATGTCTGAGACCATATCCAGCCAGAAGGATATTGGACTGCAGACTGTCCAGCACTGGTCATTGTCTCACAAGCCTTGGGGACTGTGAGGGTGATGGTATCCTTCGTATAGGATGCATCAGTACTACAGGGAGAGGTAACAGTTGTCATATCGACGGTTGTGTAGGTCTCGTGCTCACAGCCACAGGGACTGTATACCAGAGTGACTGGGACACAAGTAGTAACCACAGATAAGCTGGTATCAACAGTGACATATGTGACACTCGTTACTGTGTCTGTAAGTGTAGTGAGAGTGGTGCAAGCTGTGTTGATAGTTGTAGCAGTGGCGATATCGGTGAGCACAGCACTCTCAGATGTCTTAGTAGTAGAATCATCGGAGGTAACGGCCGCGTTACTGTTGCTTGTGGTAGAGTGTCCAGTTGATGTGGGCAAAGTAACGACTGAAGAAGAGGAAGACAGCGTGGAGGATAGAGATGCCGAGGATGCTGAAGATGCTGAGGTGGAAAGAGTAAGAAGTGTCGAGACAGAAGATGTCATAGACGAAGAGGTCACGTCCTCCACCGTAGTGGAGTCGGACACAGGCATAGATGAAGATACAAATGAGCCTGATGTTGTGAGTATCACAGTTGATTCAGATGTAGATGTCTCTGTTGATGGTGACGAAGTGAAGCTTGATGTAGACAATAGGGTTGTAGAGTCTAATGAGGTAGACAAAGGATCGGATGTTGATGCAGAGTCTGATGTAGACAGCAGGTCTGATGTCGACGCCGTTTCCAGTAGGGTCGTAGAGTCTGATGTAGAAATCGCATCAGTGGTTGATGCAATCGACGGCAGGGATGTAAAATCTGAGGACATTGCATCTGTTGTTGACGCTGTTGACAGTACGGTTGTAGAGTCTGATGTAGTCGCCACATCTGATGTAGTCACTGCATCTGAGGTAGTCACCGCGTCTGACGTAGTCACCGCGTCTGACGTAGTCGCCACATCTGATGTAGTCACTGCATCTGAGGTAGACACTGCATCTGAGGTAGTCACTGCATCTGAGGTAGACACTGCATCTGAGGTAGTCACTGCATCTGAGGTAGACACAGCGTCTGAGGTAGTCACCGCGTCTGACGTAGTCGCCACATCTGATGTAGTCACCGCATCTGTTGTCAATGATGTCGTTGTTGTAGGCGATGTTGGTATCTCATATGCTTTCACAGCAAGATCGTAGTCAGATGAAGGCTGTTCCTGAGTAAATGCGGCAACTAAATCACAATCGCCGGTAAAATGTTGATAGTTTACAGCAATGCAAACATCGTCGAGGTCACATCTCTGTATGCACGATGCGAAGGTATCCCCGAGAGAGTAATAAGCATAAGTAGCTGGATTGCCACCGATGGTGTCGCAATTAACATTGAACGCATAAACGGAAGCTTCGTAGGTACTGCCCATCTCACTACAAGATGTCGGCGCGTCTGCTTTTACAAACGAGGTTGAGAGAATGGGGAGCAGGGCCCCTAGGGTCCAACGAAATTCCGAGGCCCTCATTGTAGGCGATTTCATAAACGAATGACAGAAGGCAATTGGTACCAGCAACGAAAGAGATATTCAAAGCTCTAGAGGCCAGGAGTGCAGAATGAAGTTTGCGCGGTCTACGGAGTCAGGAGTTATCTATATTTACTCTCCGATGCGGCGCGATCAGACGCTGTTGGTTGACCGCTGATAATTTTTGAATTACAATCTCTTTCTGGATAAGGCAGAAAGTTGCACCAGCTGAATGGTGGTCTAGATCTACTTTTAACCTGTTGCTCTGGCTAGCTAGCCCCTAATAGATTAGCTGCAAGCCACTAGATATGCATTTCAGGCTAGACGGGATATTTAGCCCACGGACAACTGGACCTCGCGTGAGCTAAGATGAGATAGTCGATAGCCTCGTAGGTTATTCAATAGCTCGTCGCACCGCTGTCTCAATAGTCTCAATAGTTTCAATGCACGATGGCCCACTCATGTGTTGGCGGCCGCCCACAGGGTGAATCATGGGCAAAAATGGCGTGTTTGAGGATCGGACCTGAGTTGTGTTCAGCCCTCCCTAACCGAAAATGCAGTAGTTCTCACCGTGATGGAGTCATTATTGGCGACCGGACGCGAATCTACCCTGCACGATCTGACCTAACCCCAATCTGGCTCTACCCCTTGCATTATCGCTATTGAACCTTACAAGCAAGCAGGGGATAACTAGGTCTCGACTCGTTCCGGGCCAATCATACCCTTCTTCTACCGAACATATTCTCCCGTTATTTCATGTCACGATGGCACCGCCGTTGGGGCTGTTCTAGTTAAAGCTGTCTTTGGTCTCACGACACTTACAGACTTTGATCAAGTTCGACTTGAAGGCGACACTGTCGGACTCAGAAAGACTTGACGGCTGAAAAAATAATTGCATCCGTCCTCGGACCCACGGACGCCGCGGGCACCCGGAATGCGGAGTGAGCTACCCGGGACTTGTCACCTTTTGACATCATTGCGCCAAGTAATTCATTAATGATCTACAATCTACAGACGTTATTTGCAGTCTGAACCGGCAATTTCTCCTATAAGCAGATGTCGCGGCCCGCGGCCCGCCATAGCAAAATTAAAACGACGTGATCACTGTTCCTTCTTGGCCACCTAAGCAGGCCCAAATGATTATAACATGATGAAATGCTCACATTGAAGAAACGGGTTTGATCGCTATATGACTATCATCAACTTGGAACAGAAGCAGTCATAATGGCACCCGATCCCGTCTTACCTATTGACGAGTTCAACGTCGCCACCTTTACTTACAAGGAGATTGAGGGGCAACCGATTCTTCTTGATCTATTTGTTCCCAAGACTCTACCTCCAGGTGAACGTCCAGTCCTTATTCGATTTCATGGCGGCTTTCTCGTTTATGGCAGCCGTGACAACCTTCAACTTACGCCCCCCAGAATCCTTGAATATGCTCTAGAGAACAACGCAATTCTGGTGTCTTGTGACTACAGATTGATCCCGGAGAGTAACGGGATTGAGATACTTGAAGATATCGAAAGTGTCTGGTCTTGGGTTCAGAGCAGCTTGAATGAGGCCATTGGAAAGATGACGACTGGGAAGAGCCGCGCAGACCTGGGGAGGGTTCTGCTGGCTGGGGAGAGTGCTGGCGAGTTGATCCTCTTTATCGAAGCACGAAATACAATGCTGACAATGATATAATTCCAGGCGGCTATCTGGCAATTCAGCTAGCCTTGCGACATCCGACTGCGTTTCGAGCTGTTATCGCCAGTTACCCAATGATCGATATGCGAAGCGACCATTTCTCTAAAGCCTACCCGAAGCGAATGGGCCAATATCCACAAATCAATTACGAAATCGTGTCTCAGCATCTCAAGCAGCTTCCCGATGGGCCTCAGCCATCAGCCAGAGCAATCTCTAATCTCCCAATCGCAATGGTGCAGCACGGTACATACACCAGCTTCTTCGGTGACCAACGGAGCCTGTTTCCGATAGAATATCTGGAGGATAACCCGCAGTTGGCGCTGGAACTTCCTTTCATTTGGTTACATCATGGAAACAATGATAGTGAAGTCCCCATCGAGGGAAGTAGGAAGTTTGCTGCGAAGCTAAGAGAGCTCAATCCCAAGGCCAAGTTGAGATACACGGAGCTTGAAGGGGCAGAGCATGGTTTTTGGAGCGAGATAAAGCTGATTCAATCGGGCGAGTGGGAAGAAGGAGTAAAGGTCCTGAATTCCTATCTTTACAGTTAAACTAGGTTCGGTGACGTCTAAAGCTCTTTATCTTTGCTCTTCCGGGCCGCTGCAAAATGCTATGGATCATCTTGATAATCTGAATCCTCTAAGTTTGTTGGGTGAGAGCCGTGTCCACAGAAATCGGAGTTTATGGGCCGGGCCACTTCCGCATCACCCACCACCAGCTCTAGAAAACCCGTGGGGCCGAACAAAAGATCTATGCCTGTCTGCTGTCCGAATCATGTCCTACTGATAACTTTTGAAACGTTTGCCATAAAGATGTAGAGTTTCGGAATTAAGGGAGTTCGGTAGCAACATACACTGGACTGGAGCCTTGCTCTGCGATATGTTTAAGTGGTTGCGAAATGCCAAGGTAAGAAGTGGTTGTTGTTATGTATGCAGGACTTCGAACTCGAATGACATCACACAGTCAAATTTCCACCCGGATGGCATCAAAGAGTGATCTGCAGCAATCTACACTATGGGGCCGCTGTAACCAACTCGGAGTCCGTTGGTGCTCCGGGTCAAAGCGGCGAGGGCAAGAAGCGGGGTCCGTAACCTTCAATGGCTCTATTTGCCAATGTCCTTGGATAATTATTTGCGATAAGGTTAAGCCTTAGGCTCCTAACTTAGATGATAAAGATATGACCATGCTTCTGCCTAAGCTTATACTCATCGGAATTTGACGGAATTCCCTTCCGGGGATGTATTCCATGCAGGATATCTACCGTGACGGGTTTGCGCCCGCTAAACTCGGAAGTCACGGCAAGGCGGTAGCTCACAAATAGCATCTGAAACATAGAAGTCAAATGTAACGCCAAATTTAGATGAAGAATGGTTCTGGCAAGTCACAAGAGGGTTCATACTTGGCCAGAACCGTATCCGCAAACAACTGCCTGTCTCGGCACATGCTGGCATGGCGTAGTATAAAGACCAAAACATTCAGACTCTCACGGGGATGCGTTTCCTGAACCAAACATTATATTCATTTCTATCTTTAATCATGGCCCAGGAGCAGAAAGATTTCCAGATCACCATCATTGGTGGCGGTATTGCAGGAATTGTCCTTGCAATCTCACTTCTCAGAAGAAACATTCCCTGCATAATCTACGAGAAAGCGCATGCCTTCAGCGACATCGGTGCCGGCCTAGGAATAAGCCCCAATGCACAAGACGCCATGGCTGCTTGTGATCCAAGCGTACATGAAGCGTTTAAAAATGTCGCCAACGGTAACACCTGGGAGTCCAAGAAAAGCTTCTTGTTTGAGTTTCTTGACGGCATGGACGGGGCGACTACCGACTCCCCTCTGTTCCATATCGAGAATCGTACCGGGCTACAGGGTTGTCACCGGGGCGCCTTCGTAAATGAACTCATAAAGCTCTTACCCAGCGACTTGGTGCAGTTTAACAAACAACTTCAGACAGTGGAGGAAAATAGGAGTGGCGGAATCCTACTTACCTTTCAGGATGGCACAATTGAGGAAGCTGATGCTGTTGTTGGCTGCGATGGCATCAAGTCCAAAGTTCGCGAAATTCTCGTTGGAGCAGATCATCCGTCGTCAAAGTGTTCATACACGCACAAATATGCTTACAGAGGAATGATCCCCATGCCACAAGCAGTTGAGGTGTTGGGGGAGGAGAGAGCTCTTAATGCCACGATGTGGGTAAGTTCTCCTTGACATGTCACCTCTGATCATGGGATGCAGTCTGATATAACTTCTGAAACGGACAGTTGGGGAAGGACAAGCATCTGTTGAGCTATCCTGTTGCGCACGGGGCGATCTTGAATGTGGTGGCATATTGTTCAAGCTCCGACGACTGGCCAAGTGAATCTCAGCTGGTTCTTCCGGCCACCAAAGAGGATCTTCTCCGGGATTTCGAAGGTTTCCGACCATCCGTGCTAAGGATTCTCGATAATACTGATAAGCTTGACCGCGTGAGTGCCAATCTAATGTGTGGCTAGATCACCGACGTGTTTACTAATCTCGGACAGTGGGCCATCGTCGATCTAGGTGAGAATCCAGTTCCGACCTTTGCAACAGGTCGAGTATGTATCATCGGAGACGCAGCACATGCTTCATCGCCACATCATGGAGCGGGAGCAGGCTTATGTATTGAAGACTCTGCTGTGTTGGCGTGCATACTGGCGCATGACACGGTCCAAGGAGGTGCCGATATCGAGGCTGCGTTCTCTGCATTTGATAGAAGTCGACGAGAAAGAGCCCAATGGGTCGTTCAAAAGTCTAGACGAGCGGGTCAACTATTCGAACGCCAAACTGAGATTGATAGTGATTTTGATAAGATATACAAGGAGCTGGAGGAGACGCTACCTACGATCTGGGATTACGATATCGAAGAAGCGATAAAGATTGCCTCGATCGAGTTGGATAAAGCTTGATTTTGGATCCTCAGCTCTAGGTGACTTCTAAGACTTCTAATACTAAATCAGTTTCGCATCGTCCTGCACCTCAAATTTCGCACACAAAGTATCTATGCCCAGTCATTGATCGGCGATGATTGAACCAAGATGCTCAAAGCTTATGCTCACGGCTTGCAACTGCTGCTAGAGAAGAAGGATCATCAATCGTCCAGGGAACATCTTGATCCCGAATAAACGGTGCAAGATCAACATCAACCCCCTCTTCAGCCAGCTCTTCAATCTGAGTACGACCGTTGCCCAAAAAACTCCACATGTTGTCGTTTCGGTAGGTAATGTTGAAGTCCTCGAACCTAGGCGTCTTCATAGTCTTGAGCAGATGAAGCATGCTTCCAGGCCATATATACACCCGTCCGTCTGACCTATTCGCCTTGTACCAAGAACGGCAGTTGCCAGCCCAAACTGAGTACTTGGTGTGCCAGTTGTCGAGATGCTCGTTCCACTGCGTAGTGGGAAGTTGCTTGACCTCCATGGCTTTGATGCCCTCGTTCTGCATCTTGATGCAGCATTGCATAGCATACTCAATTTGAACTTCGTGCTAAAGTTGAAGGTTAATTAGTTTTGTGATTTAATAGTAGAATTTAGGGCCCTGACTCACCGAAGGAAGTACACATCCTTGGCCCCAGTTGCCCGTTGGTCCATTGATGACAAAATAGTTGGGAAACTTGGGCCCAGTGATACCAAGATAAATGTTTGGATTCTGGTGACAGAAAATAAGTTAATTACATTTATTTCGTGAGATGAAACGTGTCGCGCTTTACATACCTCTGACCATTCATCCTTCATCGTTACACCATCAATACCGGTGATTTTGCTACGACGGCTAAATTAGTGACGTTCTTGTAATAACAAATGGTGCCTTGAATCGAAAGTACTTACAAATGCGGAATATACGAGATGTCAAACCCTGTAGCGCAGGCAATAAGATCGAAATCGAACTCCTTGCCTTCGCTCGTGACAAGGCCTGTGGGAGTGAATCTTGAAACGCCTTCGAAAACAACCTTGACATCTGGCGGATGTCAGCATCTCAAGCACATTAGAGCAGTATAACCTACGGCCTTGGACCAAGCTCTCTAGATAGTCGTTGCCAGGCTGTAAAGGTGCAGTGGTTAACGGAACGTTTAAAGAAGAATATGGATCAACCTACCGTTATTCGTCGACATCCTGGCGGCCAAGATGGAATAAGCTTTTGTTTCAACTCCTCATCAGCACTCTCAAGCTTCTTGAGCATATCCTGCTTGATAGCAGCAGTAGCCCACTGGCTCATCGGTGAATCCCTAAGAAAGAACGGAAAATTGCGTGTTAAGGTTGCCTCAAGACCTTTCCGGTACTGTAGATGTGCCCCAGGGTCTCTGCGAAACTCCTCCTTGTCCTTTTCAGAATAAACTTGCGTGCCTGGTTGTTCGGCAGGACTGTTGCCCTCCTCATTAGCCTTGCTGAGGTCTGTGCCCAGTGAAGGGACGATCCATATCGAGTTCCTTGCGAACGCGTGAAGGCTTTTTGAACCTAAGTCAGGTCCGTTTTAGTAGTGAGCAGATCCATTGTTCTATTGAACTGACCTTTGGCGAGCTGTGGCAGCATCTGTACAGAGCTAGAGCCGGTTCCGATGAGTGCAACCCGTTTGCCTTCCCAACTGATCTTTGGGTCCCAGGTCGCGCTGTGAGCTATGGTGCCATTGTAGGAGGATGTACCAGGAACATCAGGCCCTATGAGAATGTGAGAGAGATCTGCAGAGATTTCGTGTAATGTACTCACACTTGGCTTTGTTAACCACTCCCGATCCATTCATCAATACATCGCAGTAGTCCCTTCTCTCCTTACCATCCTGGCTTAACTTAACAACCCCTGCCAGAAGGTATTAGCCCTTATGATCCATCGAGATGGTTGTATAACTTACATTTCCCTTCATCACCATCCCAAGCCGCGCTGATGACTGTGGTCTGCAGCTGGACATATTTCGCGAGATCATACTTCTTTGCAAATCTGAGAAAATAGTCATAAATCTGGGCAGAGTTTGCATAGTAGCAAGACCATTCGGTATTTGGCTCGAACGAATACGTATAGATATGCGCCGGCACGTCACAGGCACATCCTAAAGTATTAGCCTCCACGAACGTTAATGCAGAGGATCCTTGTCGCAATACCTGGGTAGCGATTTTCGTACCATGTCCCGCCTATGACTGGGTTTCTGGACAAAACAAATGAGAACTTGGATGTAGATAAAGTCAAGACGGCTAAGCTCACTTATCGTAGCATACAAGCTCGTAATTTTGCAGCATACGCTCGGCCTTGTAAGCAGTCAAAAGACCTGACGCCCCAGCGCCGACGTGAATAATCCTCAGCTTCCGAGGCTTTGAGTGTGCTTGGACCGACATCTTGAGCGTATAAGAGGAATCGCAAGGAACCTTTTTCACTTAATGTTAGAGAACAATTGCTCGATATCGAGATGGTTCGATTTCCCCTTTGCCATATATACTTATATATTGGAGTACCCAGTCTTGCGTAAGGCTAGCTACAGTACACAATCAAAATATGCTATAACGACATGGGACTCACAGCTTCGTCACCGCACCATGAAGTGA